CACAGTTCTTTATGAAAAACATAAACAAGTTTGGAAGTGTTTTCAGGAATCTATTCTTGTGTAAAAGAAATTTCCTAAGAATAATAAATGTGTTAACTGCCAAGTCAAGTGTTTCATCTTTAATAAAAATACCAACAATTATATTTCCCTTTAATACACGTAAATCTCAAATTTAGGAAATAACCAGTAATGCAAATCCTCCTAAAAGGTAAAGGCAAATTTACAATCATCACAGTATTGATCAGTATAACTGAGGACAGTATTGAATGTGGATTTATTTATTTATTTAATATTTGGCTTTGGGTTTTAAACTATTACTCGTAGCGAGTTTATTTGATTCACAACAAACTTTTTCAACATGATGCCGAGACATTGAAGATGCTAAATTGTGACCGGATATTGGAAATCTCGAACAGTGTTGCCGGGTTGCCATGGCAATGGATTAAAGTTATGTCAACAAGGGGAAACAGGAAGAGTCTCATATCTTCTAAATAATTAATTATACACCATTTATTTCTATATAAAATAATACAAATATTAGAAATACACATTTATTCTTTTTTTTTAATTCAAGAAGACTGTATAAATAAAAAATAGGCAGATTAGTGCAATCAGGTTGAATAAAACATCAAGTCTGACATACTATAAGCGCTAGATGGCGGCAGCATCATAGGCGTATTTCTAACAGGCTTGAGATAACTCATATTGCTGAAACCGTAATGTTCCGACTGATAACAAAATTGTTCAGACAATACTTTTATCAGGTATTGGATTTGGATATGTATTTAGACATGATCAAAAACAACTTTCTGTCACAATTTAGATTTTATTTTTTGTTTAAAATGTCTGTGTGTGTGTGTGTGTGTGTCTGTCAGTTAGTTACACTTTTGATGGTTTAGACTAGAGTTAATCCCTTTCATTGCCCTTTCAAATTAATACATTTTATCATATACATGAATACATTATATACATAATTACATTTTTAGTTTTTTTTTTATTACTTTTTACTCTCATTATGTGCAACACCACTGACAGAAACATGTACTTACACACACACACACTCTCTCCCACTAACACACACACACATATAGGTTTCTTTGAACTCTCATTATGTGTAAACACTGACAAAAACACTTCAATCAATTAAAAATAAATGAAATGACAATAAAATATATCAATGACACAACTGGGTTAATTTCAACCTTTAATAGACATTAATTACATGATATACATAGTGTTTCATTGAAACAAGAGCGTATCATTCGCAGGAATGGCCTCTTGTACATGAGGAGCGCTTCACCCCTCTCGGCTTCGACTACAGCATTTAGTAGTGATGTAAAAGGTATGTGAGTGTGTGTAAGTGTGTGTGTGTCGGGGCCGACCACAAGCCGAATCTTGAGCTCAGTTTGACATTCACAGCCAGATGAAGAGGGGCCGATCGGGGCCCCGACACACACCGAGGGACATCTAAAGCCATTTTCATATTTCACACTTGTTGAGCAAAAATTTTAACAAAAGAAGAAGAAAAAAGAAAAATTGACAGCATATATACAGTTAATTTTGTGGTATATACACATATATACAATATATATATATATAAATATAGTAAAACAGATAAAATTACACTGATGTTTTATCCATAAATAACGGCTGGAGAGTAACAGGTTGGATGACACATGAGGTTTGAGCAGTTGGAAGCACAGTGAGGTGTGTGTGTGTGTGTGTATGTGTGTGACCTATCAGTTCATCACATTAATAACGGCTGATCAGTGGACGACACACACTCCCCGTCTGTCTGTCTCTCGTTCAAGCTGCCGATGGCAAACACTGAAATGGCAAGTCAAGTTACAAACTAACGGTCTCATTTCCCCTCGCCAACAACGTTCTGACATTTGATTCTGTATGTAGTTCATCCGAAGCAAATGACTCTCTTTAAAAGTCAACGTGAAACACATTAGCAGCTCATTCTACTTCTGTTATGTGCCGTAAAACAGGATATTCAACTTTTTTAAAACCATTATTCGCTATTATTGTCGTAGCCTTCAGTTTATTAAATAAGTGTTTAGAATATCCTACAAAAGTCTAAAACAGTGATTAAATAGTTATTCGACTATCGCAAACATCATTTTGATGTGACGTAAGTTGAACAGTGATTTCAGAGAACGTGCAATGATGAATCGTTGACAGTTACACTGCAAAAAAAAATATTTTAGTCAGTATTTTTGTCTTGTATCTTGATTTGAGAATGTTTCGATATTTGTACTGGAAAACATTTACCGGAGAAGCAAAATGACTTTATTTAATGAAAAATATATCAAAATGAAGTGAGTTTGTGCTTGAAACAAGAACAAATATTATCCAGAAGGGTCAGAAAAATCTTTTTTTATTAAATAATATTTTTCTGACCCCTTTGGCAGATATTGATGCAAATCAATTTGAATGCGTTTTCAGTAAACAAGAGTTAACATCTGAAGCTCTGAATATCAGTAAATGTGTCTTGATTTAAGAACGTTTAGATGTCTGTACTGTAAAACAAGACAGAAACACTGAGGAAGAGCATCATGTTTTGCAGTGTAGATCAAGAACGTGCAGTTTTTGAGCTCGTGTTGACTTTAAGGCACCCTTCGCTGTCGTCTGGGTTTAAATAAGTTACAGTAAATTCATACAGCCGTTCCACCTGCCTGAAATCATATCAACAACTAGCGATCGATATTTGTTCATTAGTAGATCTACACGACAGGTAAAGGTGACTCAAGTATTACAGTATAAATGGCATTGTAACAAATGCGTTTAAAGCACAGCCAAAATGTGCGGAATAACAGTTTTTCACATTTGCTGAAAAAGAGTAAGTGCTTTTCCACATACAAACACCGATATTTTTGGCAAAGGTACAAACGGATGTCGAACACGCGTCTCCGTTCGCTGTTGACTGGTTTTGGTTTGCGAGTACTAAACCTGAAAACGGTGAATAATGCACACGCTCCTGTGCGACGTACCACCGAAACTTAACACAACAGGAAAGCAAATCGACAAAAAACGGAAAAAGAAGCACAACAATACGAGTGGATCACCATCTGTGTGGCCTAACAGCATACTGTACAAAGTTCAGGACATTCTCTCAGAATGGGATGTTTGTCTTTTGCTCTGCGCTGATATTAAGAGCAGCTTCTTCTAGTTCTCAGTTGCAGAGTCAGCGGATAGGCTCCGCCCCTTCTGCATGTCAATTAGCGTTAGGACACGCCCACTAGTGGCCGTCGGAGTGGTCGTCTGAAGACCCTGCGTTGTGGATCCAGTCCAGGATGATTAAAGTCATGCTGCAGATCATCACCACGACTCCCATGATGAGGAACAGCAACGCCTGAGGAGAGCGAGAGTGTGATGAGAAAGCGTTACCTTTCAGTATTAGATTTGCTCCATCCGTGTCGGTGTTTAAATCTACGCTAAAAACTTATTTTTTTTAATCAGCATACAGGTGAAACTCGAAAAATGCAAAAGTTCATTTATTGCAGTAATTCAACTTAAAAGGTGAAACTAATATATTATATAGACTCATTACATGCAAAGTGAGATATTTCAAGCCTTTATTTGTTATAATTGTGATGATTATGGCTTATAGCTTATGAAAACCTTTTCACAATATTCTAATTCTGAATTTGGGGTTTTCATAAGCTGTAAGCCATAATCATCAAAATTATAACAAATAAAGGCTTGAAATATCTCACTTTGCATGTAATGAGTCTATATAATATATTAGTTTCACCTTTTAAGTTGAATTACTGAAATAAATGCACAATATTCATATTTTTCGAGTTTCACCTGTATGGTTAAGGATGAAATATTTTTGTGTTTTTATTGCTTCTTGTATTGATGTAAAGCACACTGGTCAACTGGTGTTGTGGTTAGTAGTGCTATAGAAATAAAATTGACATTGACATTGACATGAGAGTCTGTCATCCTCAAGAACACACACACACACACACGAGTCTCTTACCCCGATCTTCTGCACAGATCTCATGGACTCCTTCTCCACCAGTCGGATGTAGAAGGCTGAAGGGAGGATGAAGATCAGCATAGCAGCAGCGGACGCTCCTGCAGAGACACAGAACGTCATTTAATAACTGAAATTTAATATGCTAAACTCATTTCAGGTAGTTGACAAGGCAACGTTTATAACTTTTAAGGTGAAGTACTAAAATAACTAACACGGACATTAAAATTAATAAAAACTATATTGTAAAAAAAAATGTAAATGGAGTTGTAAAATAAACAATAAGTTTCATTTTTAATATTTTAAGTTGAGGTACTACTAAGTAAACTTATTTCAGATAGTTGACACTAATTTTTGTTTAAGTTTAAGTACTAATATGGAAATAAAAATGTCTAAAAAAGTTGTAAATAGAGTTGAAAAATAAACATTAATTAAAATAAACTATTATTTTTAGTTGTAATTATACAATAAAATCCATTTCAGTCTTTCTACTTCAGAATTTCATGTTTAATTCAATGTGTTATTTGTCATTTCTTTGTAATTATTTGTGAAATTTACAAGCAAATTCTGAGTGAAAATTGCTCAAATTGTATCAAAGTAAAAACTTTGATACACAATATGTTTGTGTGTGTATATAGACGCACAACGAAATGACTAAAACTTCAAAATAATTATGAACACTGCAAATAAGTATATTAATGATACAAAAATGACACATGACATCCGGTACCTACCGATGAATCCGAAAATGTCCCTGATGGTGGGGACGAAGATGACGAGGATGTTGACGCAGACGAGCAGGGCGACGGTGATGCCGATGTGCCGAGGCCAGCTGAAGTCTTTCGAGGCTCCGAGCAGCTGGTTGACTGAGGTGCGGATCTGAAGCAGAGAACACACCTTACGTCAGCGTGTGTGTGTGTGTGTGTATGTCAGGACCTGTGAATGTGTGGAATACTCACCGGGAAGAGAACCACGGGCACGGTGAGCGTCACGGCGGTCAGGACGGCGAAACGCACGATCAGAAGCACCACGTCGAAACTGTAGACCTTTGAGTAAGTGTGCAGAAGCTCGGGTTCAACGGCCTCTGTCCAAAACAAACACATCACATCTTTACTTCAAACATCAGTGAGAAGAGATTGCTGTTTTAAGATTAGATTTCCTGTTTTTTGTAATTTTGTTGTGTTTTGGGCCTTTTTTTAGTTTTGGATTTTTTTTAAACATGCATATTTTATTCATTTTTAATCAATTTTAGTTGTTTTAGTACTAAAAGATAAAAGCTCTAAATGAAATTGAGAAATGTTGCCTAGGCACCTAGCTGAAATAAAAGAAGCTTTTTTATATTTTCCATTTTCATTTTAATAATTTTTTGTGTTTTTTCTTTAGTTTAAAATTAATTAATTTTTTTTAAATTATGTATATCAATTTTTAATCAGTTTTAGTTTGAGATATTTTAGTAATTAAAGTTCTAAAATAAAACAAATAAATGAGAAATTTTGTCTTGGCAACTAGTTTAAATTTAATTTACTTTTTAATATATCATTTGATTTGTATAATTTTGTAGTGTTTTAGGCTTTTTAAATATATGTATATATTTGTATTAATTTTAATCACTTTTCATTTAAGTTCTTTAATAACAAATAAGCTCTAAACTAACTTAAATAAAATAAGCTCTTTTAAATATAGTAATTTTGTTGTGTATGTGGTTTTTAGATTTTGATTTGTTTTTAAAATATGTATATATTTTTAATAAGTTTGAGTTATTTTAGTACGTCAAGCTCTAAAATAGAAAATAAATAAAAGCGCTAAATGGAAATCAGAAATGTTGGTTTGGAAACTAGCGGAACGTATATGTCAACAACAAGTTTGTATAGAACATCAAACAACTCGTCCCACAAAAATGTTTATTTTTCCTCGGCTGCGTCTGAGAAATCCCTCCGTTGCGTAACATTTCCAGCTGAACGTCTCTCACTCGAGAGGTCTGGAGGTTCAACGCTGGCCTTTTGCCGGATCAATCCCAAGCCATTTAATGGACACACCTCCGTTTAAAACAAACAGCCTCACTGTACACTTCAACCCAGTGTTGGACTAGCTAATGTGTCGTAACGTGTGTGTCGTAAGCCGTTCTGGCTCTGATGTGTCCTATGCGTTCTGCTCACCGTTGAAGGTCAGGTATCCGAACAGTGCTGCCAACAGATACATGATAAACATTCCCAGGAACGACACGTTTGCAACGTTCTGCATCTTCTTTCGGGAGCGACTGCAGAAGGAAAGTTAGAGAAAGTGTTAGTTTTGATTTATGATTCATTCTTGATTACTATAAACATTTGTACAGAGGTTAAACTCACAAAAAGCAACTTCTAACTTTATGAAAGAGCACCTATTGTGCTGTTTTCCATCTTCATCTCTCTTTAGTGTGTAATGTTGCTGTTTGAGCATGAAAAAGTTATTCTCTATATCAGTGTCACTGTTTCTGAGCGAACACGTCACAATATTCCTCATTTAAATAATTCATACGCAGAATAAAGGGGCGGGGCCTGATTGAGTTAGTTAGTAGTGTGTTAAACTGGTGGTTATGGTAAGGGGCGGGACATTTCCCAAACACACTCGAAGCGCTCGACCAATCACAACACACTGATCCAGCCGACCAATCAGAGCACAGTGTGCTTTCAGAAGGAGGGGCTTCATAGAGACAGGAAGTGAACAGAGCGTTACTGACAGACTGGGAAGAGAGGAGCCGCAACAATGGAGAATATGGGAAAAACCTGTTCTAGCAGAGCCCAAAAAACAACATCAAGAATATTACATATTATATATATTTAAGCGTAAATGTTACTCACTCTTTGAGCTCCTCGTACATGGGCAGGATAGCCGGGTGGCACACAAACGCAAAGGTCAAAATGGGCACCGCATACACAGTCTAAGGCAAAACAATAAAGTTAGATCCCCACACACTCCTCTCACTCAAATGCAAATATCCGAACGCAAATATCCACGACGTACCTGTGAGTTAAAGATGAAGTACTTGGGTTTGCAGCACTCTTCTTCTTCTTCTTCAGTGGCGTTGACCTGTGGCTGAGAGGCGTTCACTGTGATGTTAATGAAGTTCTCAGGTAGTGGACACGGGATCTGGAACTTCTTGTAGATCACCTGAAGAACAAAAGCAGGAAGGAACGTCTCATCAGACTAACAATAGCAGCTCCAATGACACTCTTGCTCTCATTTGCATGTGTTCATTAGCATTTTATGATGAATATCGCAGTACTCACCACAATGACGAAGAACACCATGCACAACAAGGAGAAACCACTAGTGTAGCCTAGATAACCTGAGAAGAAACACAAACACAAACCATGAGGATCAGCACAAAACACACCACATCTTCAGTCATGCTCACAGCCATATATATTATATATAATTTTCCTTTATTTTAAGGTGACTTTATATTATATTATACATTTAAGTACAATAATTAACTACATGTACTTACTATAGGGTTAGGTTGCATGTAATTATGCACTAAGTATATAGTAACTACTGTCGTGGAAATTTTAGACTGTATATCAAACTAACCGTGTGTCTAACATCTAACCTTATTAACACGCTTACACTTTGAAACACCATGCACTAGAAACTTTCTGTTCTGTGTTTTTGAATGTTGAAGGCCTACGTTGCCATATCCCTGTTGAGTGTAAAAATAACAAATATGGGAAATGAAACTACTAGACAGATGTCTAGGATTGAAAACTTTCGATTATGAAGTAATGAAGAACCAATCAAATTGTAGGGAAATTATGTACAGTATCATGTCATTTTGCCATACCCCTAATCTATAAAAACTGCTGTATCTGTGTTTTCGGGTGGGATTCTCAATGGGATTTGTCTGAGATCCTCCGCCTTGCTCCTTCTTGGGAGAGTTTCTCAAAGTCGAAGACTCTCCCGGCCGTGATTAAAGCATTTAGAGGACATTTGCTGAGGTCCGTCTGTTATTACTGCTGCGCACCAGGTCAGTTTAGTGTAAGTTACTTAGCAAGTAAGCAAGAAAACAAGTAAATTAGAATTATAGGATTAGACTCGGCTGTAGTCGACTGTAGACTCGCTGGAGTATGAACTTAGCTAACGTCAATGTATCGCCGCGCTAGAGTATTATTGCTAGGTAGTTCGGTTTAGGAAAAAAATCTACGACACAACATGTAACAAGTAACAAGGAGATTGTAAAATAAAGTATTATCTAATACTAATTTAACGTATCTTAATTTTCTTTGTGCAAAATATAACCCCTAGGTAAATGATGGTTTTGTGAGCTTCACTGTCCTGCGAGCACACTTACTTACCGAGGTTTTTAAGCAGCGAGAGAGGCAGTATGATGCTGACGGTGACTATCAGCACCAGGTAATCTCCATTAGTGTACCACGCGCTGCAAAACACATTACAAAAGATTGATATCAGTGCTGAGGATATAACACGCAGCTGTTCTGCAACATCCTGTATCAAAAACACATTCTGTGAGTGTGTTTGCGGTGTTTCAGTTCTGTCTCGGGCCGTGCATCATGTTGTTTTGTGTGCAGGGGCCTTTGGGCTCCATGTAGGGGTCTGAATCTTAAATGTCAGTGTTTGTTGTATTAGGTCACTGTCACAAAGCTCTCAATCGACGTCTTTGAACAGACGTTCAGTCCCCCCCGGCCGGACAGCTGTACAATGAAGCGCTCACACTGTTCTAAGCAGCGCTGAAAAACATTCCAGTGCAACAACAACAACATCAGCCTTTGAAATCTTACTTGTCATTGGTGTCTAAGAAGGCCTTAATGACGATGGGCAGCTCGTACTTCACGATGTAGAGGTAGCTCGCCATTGCTGGGATTTAAACAGAGTTTGAAAACACTTTAGTGACTTAAAAACTAAACCAAACTCAGTGTTATCTGCATGTTTACACTGCTGGTCATACCTCCAAAGTTCTGCATGGTGATAGAGCAGGACGCTGCCAGTTTTCCTGGAATCCCGAAGGCTTTGTACCCCAGCTGTTCGTACACCAGAGAACCTGGACAGAGGGAGTCAGGGAGTTAAAACCCACACTTATCACAGGTAAAAATAGAAACATGGTCACAGTATCACAGAGAGACGCTAACCTCCTTCATTGGCCGTTTTGAGCAGCAAATGGACTGAGTACAGGGAGAAAATGGCCACCGCGACCAGCAGGATCCTACAGAAATGAACAAGAACACCGAAAGTTGAAGTCTCTTGTCTGAAACAAGCAGAATTTAACTGCAACTGATTAGAAGGGTTTTATTTTCATCAAACAAACACATTGTGTGCAGAGAAAGACCTGGAATATCCCAGCTAACAGGGAACGTTCTGGCAAGGTTCTCTCTAAGTTATGAACAAACGTTCTTCCACTAACGTTTATTCAAAAGTTATCTGGTCTTTTATAATGTTCTCAAAACGTTAGCACAAAGACATTATAAATATGGAACGTTCTTTTTCTGAGACGGTTTAGTTTTTTTTTAAATGTTACTTGTTTTCGGAATGTTCAGAGATGTAACATTCCTATAATGTTTGAAAAATGATAAAATGGAGTGTTCCATTTACCATTTAAAAAACAACATTTGGAACGTTCAGAACGTGAGAATGGTAGCGAAACGTCGTTTTTTGTTAGCTAGGATGCATTAAGAAAACCAGAAACCTCATGTTGACATTAGATGTTAAAAGATTTGTCTATGTAGACAAGATGGCCCCAACTCAAACCTAACGTTTGCTCGCCCGACAACTGAACATAATGGAGTCTCTGTAATGCGTCACGTTACAAACACACACCCACACAAACACGCGTGTTCATAACAGAGGGAGGTGACCATGGATTAGACCTGATTATATTCTCACACACTCACTCATTCCACTGTCTGCAGCTCGACTGATCCCATTATAACCTGTGTGACCTTCAGTAGATTTCCATTTCACGTGCATCACATCTTTACTATTTAGCCCATTCTTTAACAGAACAGTAAAGCTTTCCCTCCAAACACTTCAATTAAACCATTTATTTCAATGCATTTCCTGGTTTAAACTCAAATTCGGGGTTAAAATAATTCGGATTATATTGTCCACCCTGATTTGTCGGTCACTGGAAATCCCATTTCGGTTAACCAAGAAATCATTTATGTCATTCTTTGATGGATGATTTGGCATCCAGACGGATTAACAATACAATGCTGTATAACTCCACTTGCATCCATCACTTTAATATAACCAGTGGAAACTCACACATGGCTTTGTTTATAAACACTAAGAAGAAGCACGACTTCCATTTACTTCATTGATCAGAGCCGAACTGACGGATTCAGATCCGCTACAGTAGATTTACACCAAGCAGAATCTGGCGCAAATTACTGGACTCATTAACGGAACTAATTATCCTAATCAGGTAAATTAGGGACAATTGTGTACGTACTTTCAGCTAACAAAAATATGAACTTTCATGCTAACTCTTTAAAACCGAACTATAGAAAAGCGGGTGGTAACCAGGTCTGGTATCGGCTCATGCAAATGTGTATGTAAATTTTTAAACTGAGGCGTTTTCGGCAGTTCGTATGAGGTGAAACAGATCCCGCGCATGCAGAAGAACCTCAATACTCACACAAACATGGCGATGCCAGTATTAGCCATGGCATAAGCAAGTCCCAGTATTCCGCTTCCCATGATGGCATTGCCCAAGTTAAACACGGACATCCCGAAAGACGCCGAGCCATGGCTCTGAAAAACAAGAACAGCGAGATATATTATGTGATGTTTAAGTGCACTATCTGATTAAACCTCTTAGGCCAAATGAACCACTTACATATTCAGCTTCATATTTCTTCTTGCCCAAGTGATCAGACAGGAAGTTCTGACTTTCGGCGTCCACGTCGGTATATTGTATTCTGTAATCAAATCAGCGCATCAGAAAATGCTTTGTTTTATATAAGTTGACCTATTAGCTAATAGTGACTTGTCTAGGTCAAATGATGCAGGTTTTACCCATTGAAGGGGACTTTGGCGGGACAGTCTTGATAAGTTGTGTACTCGCTGTTGGAACTATTGCTGTCCATGTCTGGAGCGATGTTAAAACGACTCATCTTTGGATTTGCAGGGTCTTTGTTCATCCTGTAATTAAAAACAATGAAATATAGTCTCCTTATTTTTGAAAGGATTTATGTTTATCTTGACCATTGTGGTGATTAGTGTTGGGGATCCAACAGATGAGGCTTTAAATCTGTGTTTTGTGTAAGACATTCTCATGCAACTGGTTTGACTGATCTTGTATACCAACATTCACACTTATCCGTGTAGTTGGTTATTGCTGATTTTAATATTATGTCAAGTAAAATATTAGAACAGCGCCATTACAGAAACACCTTTACAATGGTGTTCACAGGAAAACTTGTGTCCCCAGAAATCTTTGAACGATTATCAATGCGCGCTCCTCCATTCCCTGCGTTCAGCACAAATGCGCGCCCCCCCTCGCAGAGCTCAGGTCACGTGACCAACCAGAGCCGAGTGGAAAATTACAAACCGGCACAACAGATCAGCACGCGCTGCGTCCGCCGCGCCGCATCGTCATCAACTATTTATACCGACATCTGATAAGTCTATATTTATATAAGTTAGTCTGAACAAAATGATTAAACACCACAAGTAGGGTATTTATTCTTGTCGGGTGACTCGTTTAACGTATTTAAATCGATTCTGGTGACCATTTTAGACCTTGAAACGTAAACTAAAATGCTGAATTTCCATTTAAACTCCCAAATCCTTTGAATACGTTACTTATATAAAGATCAAATAATGATAATAATGCATGAATGTCAAAAATGATGCAGACGCTCGGAGTGTGAAGCAGACGCCCCCGCGTTTATCAACAATCACCGCTCAAATTTAACATCACCAAAAAAAAAACACAATAAATCATGTAACGTTAGCTAATTTAATATATGCAGCCGTTGACAGAGTTTTCCAAAAAATTAGCTAATGTTTAAGGTTATTAGAGTTGCACAGGCGTAACGTTAGGCGTGTTTGATGAATGAATGAATTCCTTTTAAACTGATGTGTAGGAAAAAAAAGATGATGAAACACGAATGAGTCAAATCGGAACTGATCTTTAGCAACAAGACAAACCAGACCAAAATTAATTCAAAACGATTAAAAAAAAGAGAACAGTGTCATCTGGATAAATAAAATAAAAACGACAGAAAATCTTAAAGGTTGTCGAACCGGTATGAAATCTTACCTCAAGAATTAAAGAAGAAAATCCGTTTCTTCAGCTCCGATATGAATGGGGGGGAAAAAAGAGCAATCCCTCCCAGTCGTAAAGAATTTTCCAGTGATCAATTACAGAACCGATAACAATTGATCCTTCAGGAATGTACCGTAATAGAAAGCCAATAAATATTAGTAAATTAATAATAAATATAAACACTGTAATAGCCTACTTATAAACCCTACAATTTGTAATACTAATATTATTGTAGAAGATAAACGGAGATGTCCTCTGGGCGCGTCCGGTATCACTGTCGTGTTCAGATGCTGCTGAATGACGGTTTATATTCCACTGCCGGTCGCATTGCATCAGCCTTGGAAATGGGCGGGGCGTGTATTGTATACAAACACTGAAAAGCCTTCCAGCCCGAGTGAATATCTTTCCATCCCCATCCCGTCCATCCCGTGGAAGGCGTTCAACATCATACAATTTACTGAATTAAAGCGTTAATATCACAATTGTTTCTCCTAGACAGCAATGAGAGCTAATGTAGAGTTTCTCCTGATGTACTCTTAAAAATAACGGTTCAAAAACGGGGTTTTCATAGCGATGCCAAAGTACCTTTAAAAAAAAAAACATTTTCTTATTGTGAAGAACATAAAAAAATATATAATCAAAGAACATTTTTCCACTATATAGAAATATTCAATGGATGTTAAAGGTTCTCAATGCCAATAAAGAACCCTTCAGTGATCTCACATTACGGTCTAAAACACAAAATATCTCAATATCACCTCTAAATTTTCCTCTGTACGCTGGTTGTCCCTTGAAAAGTCAGTGTTGTGATGTCTTAGTGTTTCTCAGTAGACAAAAATTTGATTAAATTGAGGGAAAATAAGTAATCACACATGTCTACGTTTACTATGTGTCAAGGATTGCCAAATTTATCTATTTTTTCTAAGACATCTAAGTTTGAAACAAATGAACGAAAAAATGTAAAATCCATGATCAATGAAAGATTTGCACAATAAAATATTCTTAATATTCTGCGTGGAGAATATCTTGGGGGTCTATATCTGTGCGAACCCATTGGAATTATCAGGAATGAATGTTTTCTAAATTGTGGTCTAAAAATGACAAATGGTTTACCACAGGTACAGATCACAACCCACCGTATGCCCTACATACACACACACACATCAGGTTTAGAGGTTGCTCAGTCTGTGATTTAACTCATCTTTGTCTCAAAAGTTCCCTCTAAAATGTGTTAGGAGAAATATAGACATAATTTTTGTCAAATTATGGCTTACAGCTTATGAAAACCCCCAATTGTAAAAAGATTTTCATAAGCTGTAATCCATAATCATCAAAATTATAACAAATAAAGGCTTGAAATATCTCACTTCGCATGTAATGAGTCTATATAATATATTAGTTTCACCTTATAAATTGAATTACTGAAATAAATGAACTTTTGCACGATATTCAAATTTTTCGAGTTTCACCTGGAAAAGTGTAGACACTCCTTTTAATGTAATTTCTGTCTACAAAGAAACAGTAGATTTTCAAAGGGAGTGAATAAGATCATGGAACCACATGACTATGATGCCAGAGAGGAACAAAATTTTCCCAAAAGAGGAACTTCTGAGATGACGTTAGACACATTGACAGATTAAACAGGTCGGGAATGATTCGCCCCACACTGCTTTGGGTCACTGCAGACAAGGCCAACGAGTTGAGTTTGTTGTTTCACTCCCATCACAACTCAAACGAATCACTCGCCTGACCACCTTCGCACAGAAGTTGTTCGTCACCCCCTCCCCGATCGGCCAAATCCCCCAGTGGAAGTGGAGCAGGGCCGTACGGGACTCCGACCTACAGTGATTTACCCTCGGATTAAAGGCCACTGCGGTCTCTGAGCTGGAGTTCACAAAAGAACACGGATGCTGGAATGTCTGACCCATTGAAACGGGCCGTGGGCCCCAGGCGACGCCCCGACTCCATAGGTAATACTGGATCAACAAAAGCATTTTTCAGTCTCCACACTGTGTGAAAAACGGCCGGAAGAAATCCAAGCTCTGCTTTTGAAACGATAGCATCCATTGAGAAATGGCACGAAATGCTAGGTTGTTTCAACCCAACTTTGGGTCAAATATGGACAAACCCAAACGTTGGATCAAAAATGCAATTTATGTAACCCAACGGCTGGGTTTGTCCATATTTGACCCAAAGTTGGGTTGAAACAACACCGCATTTTTATAGTGTAGTACAAAATATGAGTATGAGTACAGTTGCGTTTCAAAAGCGTTTGTTCACAGAACAGCTTTTCAATGTGAATCCATTTGAATAATTTGGATTTCGTAATGAATGGTTTCTGAAATGTGGCCTAAAAATCTTGATTGAATGAACACTAAAAAATGCTGGGTTGTTTTAACTCAATTGTGGGTCAAATATGGACAAACCTAAACGTTGGATTAAAAATGCAATTTAAAAATGTAACCCAACGGCTGGGTTTGTCCATATTTGACCCAAAGTTGGGTTGAAACAACACAGCATTTTTTATAGTGTACAAAATATGAGTACGAGGACAGTTGCGTTTCAAAAGCGTTTGTTCACAGAACAGCTTTTCAATGTGAATCCATTTGAATAATCTGGATTTCGGAATGAATGGTTTCTGAAATGTGGCCTAAAAATCTTGATTGAATGAATGCTTTCATTGACTGATATCAGTTATAATGCAAAATCAAACTAGAGCCATTTTATCAAGTAAATGAGTTTGCATCAGTCAAATTTTATAGCGTTTGTTCATAGAACAGGTCAACAGATTTACAAATTAATTCAGACAGCTTTTCAATGTGAATCCACTGGAATAATCTGGATTTCGGAATGAATGGTTTCTGAAATGTGGCCTAAAAGTGCTAATGCTTTCACTGACCAATAGCAGTTTTAATGCAGAAGAAAACTATGCGAGCTATTTTATCAAGTCAGAACCGTGTTTATTAAGTTAGAAGATAAACAAGTTTGCATCTGCAATCCTATAGTGTTTGTTCACTGCAGAACAGGGGCCGTATTCACAAAGAATTTTAAGGCTAAAAGTAGCTCCTAACTGGCGATTTTAGGAGCAACTCCTAAAAATAATGGGCGTGTCACTCCTAAATTTAGGACTCCTAATTTTTTTCACTAAGAGTAATTCACGAAGCATTTTAGCCCTAAAAGTAGCAGCTAAGTCTGGGACAGCTTAAAAGAAGTCGAGAGCACTCCTAACTCACTAAGACCTATTCACAAAGGATTGTAGCGCACACCACCGCCTCTCGCAGTCGCCCGGGGTCCGCAACACAAGCGGGAATGATGCATTCTGCAAACAAATCCTCTCCCATGTCTCACGCTTAGTTTGGCTTGATATCCCAGTGCCGAATTTCCCTTTTATTATGTTTTTTTTGTTTTTTTCAGCACCAGCTGGGCCAGCAGCAGTAACTGATCCTGCGTCCAGTTGGGCTTTCTTTTCTGTTTTGGCAAGTTCATCATCCACCGTCATTCAACTATTACATTACTTCAATAGGAGCAACATTTCCTTGCTTTAAGTAGTCCATTTAGGCTAATAGGATGTCAATTAACCAAGCAAGTGTTAATGCAAGTGTCGTTTTTTCATTATTAGGCAAGTGGCGGTTTTCATTGGGGTATTATAGGCTACCTTGATTTAATTTAATTTAATTCACGACTTTTCTCTCTCTCTCTGCCTTTTTCTCTGCCAAACATGTCATTATATATGCATTTCGATGACATTATTATTATTATTTTGTGTAGGACACAGACATATTTAGATGTGGTAGTTCCATGATTTGTTGCGTCTGTGTTATGCTCTGCATGATGGCCCTGTCATCTAACAATCAATCACCGTGATCATTGCGAGGAAGCTCGTGCATGAGAATTGACGTCTAGCAACGATGACTCACTCTTAGTTTAGGAGTTGTCATTTTTCCTTACTAAGAGTAGGTCTGAAAGGCGTTGTGAATAACTTTTAAGAGAAAACTCCAAGCTAAAATATTTTAGTGCGATTTAGGAGTACTCCTAAGATACAATTCTTTGTGAATACGGCCCCAGGTCAACAGAGATTTACAATCATTCAGAACAGCTTTTCAATGAGAATCCACTGGAATAATCTGGATTTCGGAATGAATGGTTTCTGAAACGTGGCCTAAAAATGGTCATATCTTCATTGAACTAATTCTTTCATGGACCAATATGAAGAAAACTCAGTTTGTGAGCCATTTTATCAAGTAAAAACCTTGTTTATCAAGTCAGAATATAAACAAGTTTGCATCTGCAATCAAATTTTAGTGTTTGTTCACTGCAGAAAAATTCAACAAATTTGAACTCATTCATTCAGATAATAATACCAATTCATTGTGAATACATTGGAATTATCTGCATTTCTGAAAGAGTTCAAGTCCCTCATTGAACGAAAGCTTTTACTGACCAAGATCATTAAAAATGCAGAACCCTTTTTAACCTCTATTATTGGCAATAACCTCAAACAAACATTTACTCACCGTCATGTCAATCCAAACCTGACTTTCAACACATTTTGAGTTTTATTTTATTAAACATTTTTTTGTTGGTGACGGGGGTCATGCATATTTAAGAGAAATTAAACGTAACCAAAATGTTCCCTTGCATCTCATCAGTCCAAAGAATAATTTTTCCAGTAGAACTTGAGATGGGCAGCAATGTTTTTTCTTCAGGAAATCAGTTTCTCTCTGATAACCTCCCATGAACACTGTTCTTGCCCGTGTTTTTCTTGTGCTAGACCGGCGTTATCATGTGTCGTGATATCTTAATTCGGCGTCACCTGTTGGAGGTTTACACAGTTTACCATCACACCGATCTTTGTAGGACGTCCCGTCCCATGGAGAGGTATAGTGGTGCTAAATTTCTTGCTTTGGTAAACTATCTGCCTGACTGTGGACTAACAGAGTCACAAGTATATAGAAATCCTTTTGCAAAACCCTTTTCCAGCCCTCTGAACCGGGTCACCTCTTCTCCTGAGCTGAAAAAAGCAGGTAACTGAAATGTTTAGTGTGTGAAAGGGCAAACTAAACCCATGGGTTTTTCTGAGCTGCAGCTGTAAATTAAACAACTTGTTCTGTAAATACTTGAGGGCGGTACTGCGTTTACCCATTCGTTCAGGTATAGGCTTTTGGTTGATTTCTTTCTTTTATAAGACTACTTTTTACTATCCTTTCAAATCAGAGTTTACAGGTGAAACTCGAAAAATTAGAATATCGTGCAAAAGTTCATTTGTTT